GGTCACAATATGTGTTATAGGGTAACGGATGCTGGTCACAATATATGTTATAGGGTAACGGATGTTGGTCACAATATATGCTATAGGGTAACGGATGCTGGTCACAATATATGTTATAGGTAACGGATGCTGGTCACAATATATGTTATAGGGTAACGGATGCTGGTCACAATATATGTTATAGGTAACGGATGTTGGTCACAATTTATGTTATAGATAACGGAGGCTAGTCGCAATATGTGTTATCAGCTAACAGATGCAGCTCACAATATATGTTGTAGAGTAACGGATGCTGGTCACAATATATGTAAAAGGCTAATGGATGATGGTCGCAATACATGTTTTAATATAACTGATATTAGTCACAATATATGTTATAGGGTAACGGATCCTTCTAATTATATTGTATTGGGTAACGGATATAGGCTAATGGGCACAAAATTGTTTATTCGTCACCATACTTAATTTTGTTGTAGGCTTATGTCCGCTCATTAACTTTGATAGTTTACTGGTCAATATATATGCTGTAAGCTGACGTCTGTCACATTGTTTATCGATCAGTATATAGGTTGTAGACTAACGGCTGTCACTTTGTGTAGTGATCAGTATATAGGTTGTAGGCTAACGTCTATCACCTCGTTCACTGATCAGTATATAGGTTGTAGGCTAACGTCTGCCACCCTCTTTCTGATCAATATATAGGTTGTAGGCTAACGTCTGTCACCTCGTTTACTGATCAGTATATAGGTTGTAGGCTTACGTCTGCCACCCTGTTTCTGATCAATATATAGGTTGTAGACTAACGGCTGTCACCTTGTTTACTGATCAGTATATAGGTTGCAGGCTAACGTCTGTCACCATGTTTACTGATCAATATATAGGTTGTAGGCTAACGTCTGCCACCCTGTTTCTGTACAATATATAGGTTGTAGGCTAACGTACGTAAACCTTGTTTACTGACCTTGTTAACTGGTCAGTGCCTAGGTTGCAAGCCATGTCTGTCACCTTGACAACTGGACAAATTATATGTTGTATGATTACTCCAGTGGGGAGCCTAGGATTTGTTTGAAAAGAAATTGCCCCGGACCAATGTTGAAAAAAAATTGTTATTGTTTCAAACTTTTGGAAAAAAAGAAGAAATTGTCTGCCACAAAAATCATATTGCTACAATGTGTTGTATTTTTAGAAAAAAAAGTATTTAGGTTCATGGTTTTAATTTAAAAAATATGTCTGATTTTACAGTTATAGCTGAAAAAAATATCTAGTCTCAAAACAAATTTCAAACTGAACTAATTAAAAGTGTTTAAGGTTCTGAATTTTCCGACACTAGGGCAATTTTGGCGTGCATACATTGCCTTCTGCTAATGAAAATAAGGGCGACAAAACCAAGATCTGGCCAAAGCAGAATCAGCTGCACGTATACAACTATACCCTTAGTATGTGTTTAAGAATCACCATTAATTAGTGATGACACCAAGTGGTGAGCCTATCCTACCCCTGCGGTGGCACCCGTCACAAACACATGCAAAGGCAAGTCAAATGCTCACTTGTACAACCTGGGAACATTTGGAAATGCCCTCCACCGCGAAACCATAAAAAACGTTGAAAGCAATACTAAGACCTTGAATGTTGTAACTCTTTTAGCAAGACTCGCATGTAATATTGACGTCAGAGGCTGGAGGTGAGGTGAAATTTGGTTAAACGTCGCGTCCAAGAGTGTTGCACTTATATAGCGACGTGCATGCACGTGTGTGTGTCCAAAGGCTGGAATATTGCCTGACATATATTGAAAACATGAAGACTTCACTCGAGCCATACAGAATTGTGGAGAGAGTTTTTGTCACTCTGATTCTTTATGCATAGATCTAAACATAAAACAGATGAGGCTGTCTCACTAGTCTCTTGTATGGCTAGTTCAGGTGGGGACATGAGAGGAAGGGAATTGGCTAATTGACAATTAATGAACAATGTCATATATATACCCGAAGGTTCAAGTAAAGGACGTTCAGCATTTCACTTATTGTTTTCTCAGTAAACTTCAGATGACGTTTTCGTTTATGGTTCCAGAATGTACTTTGCTGTATTGATCTGGCATGTAAGATGTACAGCGGTAACGTTATCTGTCACATGACTTCCATATACATAAGTCAACAGGTCTACCTTGGTTGTGTCGATCAGCAGTCGTGCAGTCGTACCCAGCTGTGTGTGGTCGGTAGTTGGTGCATCTTCTGTGCAGACTTGAAGATGACTCCACTGTGTTCAGGGGTGTTTCGGGAGCTGTTCCTGGTATCAGCAGCTGTTCACTCAATGCTAGGACTGTTAACATCCAGCATCAAACAAAGTGAAGTTCAAACAACAGAGAAGGAGACCGAGCGTTCTGCTACTATCAGGAACATTGGCATCAAATACCTCAAAATAAAATGCATGGAATCTGGCGGCTGTTTGGGATACGAAGTCAGTTATGAAACGTTAACTTGTCATCTACGACTTGGTGAATCGAAGCCAATTGAGAAGAATGAAGGATTTATTGTTCTTCAAAAGTATCATTCAGATGTAAGTTGATTTTATCTGTAAATATATTTACCCTGTTTAAGTGAGTGAGTGAGTATGGTTTTACGCCGATTTTGGCAATATTCAAGCAATATCACGGCGGGGGACACCAGGAATGGGCTTCACATATTGTACCCATGTCGGGAATCGAACACGGGTCTTCTGCGTGACGAGCGAACGCTTTAACCAAAAGGCTATCCGACCCACCCACCCTATTTGAGAATGTAGGTGGTTTTACTCATTAGTTTTAATTCTGTTCCAGAAATTATTTCCTGATGTAATTACATCATATTGAAGAACAAACATTAAGTACATAAAAATGTATTCTATATCGGTCTTTAAGATTTAAACTCAAGTTACGTTAGGTGAATTAAAAGTAATTTACTGTCAAATATCAAGAGTGAATGAGATGTGTTTTACTCCGCAGCAGCTCATTCATATCACAAATCGAGGAAACCAGAAATGATCTTCACACATTGTACTGTGTCTTCAGCAAACAAACTTTTGACCACAATGCTACCCAACCAGCCATTAAATATATATACTAACGGAAACATGTAATTGTGTTTCATATAAAGTGATGTAAATGTTAAATAAAAAATAACAACATAATATTGGTCATCCTGGGGATCAAAGTGACTGACAAAACCCATACCTGTTAACAGGGTGGTGTGAGAACTCAATTAACAATGTCAATAACGGGAGCGACCACCATTTGCCTTGATGCAGGAAAGGCAGCGGCGGCGCATTGAAGACACTAGATGGTTCTCCCGGACGCCTGTAGATCCTTGCACGACCATCAGACCTGTTCAGATTAAACCTGGACTCATCAGTATACTGTTCCAGTCCTGATTCTGAACTTCAGATGTCTACACCAAGCTAGGCGTGGCTGACGGTGACGTAGAATCAATCTTGGGCGTATCAACAACTTGCGTACGGTTCTGCCACTAACCAGGCTCAACCCAGGGACTGTCTCAGCTGTTAATGTGTCAGTTTGGTATCGATTCCGTAGATGCACCAACCGAATACGGTTGTCTTGTGGACGTGACGCCACGTGTTTGTACATAACGTATCTACATGCTGCTGATATCGTCAACAAAGGGATAATACTATGTTTTGATAAACTTAAAATTATCCTGCAGCTTCGTTTTGTCTCAATACCCCAACATTGCCTTACACAAATGTTTTCTTGAACACCTGTTATCTAAACAATCACTGTGTGCTATTCACGTGAACAAGAAACACGTGTGTGAGTATCATGCCCCCAACAAACATGCAAACATTTATATTGTGCTCCGTGCATGATCATGCACGTGCACATTGTGTATCACGACCTTAAAGTCTAAGAGATATCTTCATGAACATGTATTTCAAGATAAATTATTTCATTTCAGAATAATTATAATTTTATTGAACTTTATGTGAAGCACAGTTGCAAATTTTCGTCAGCATATATCTAGAAAGACAATGTGTGTGGTGGGTACCACCGGCGGGTCAGGATACGCTCATCTTTTCGCTTACTTCATGACAAAATGATTGTGATCCATAAACACATGTTCATGAACACATGTTCATGAACACATGTTCATAAACACATGTTCATGTTTTACGCAGAGATTTCATATGAATATGGAACGGGTTTTGTCGCTATTATTGATATTCAACAAGGACAAAAGACCGATGCTTCTCAAGAACTGACAGAGCAATTTTTCGACTCAGTGTGCTATTTGGGAGGAGAAATTCGCGAACACGCAGTTGACAGTTTGCTTCTGTTTAAAGGTACCCGCTGGTCCCTGCGCAAGCAGGTCTTGCAGTCTCGGTTCTAGGTGTATAGAGAGTCGATCTGGAAAAGCTGTCTGTGTAAAAGGTAATAGCCTTCAAGTTATCTTTTGTTTGGTTTACAAGTACTATTTTACTGAAGGGTTTTAGGGCAAATATTTGTACGTCTAGAAAAAGAAACAATACCTCCCAAGAAATATCTCCAATCCACCAATAGAATGTTTAGACTGTCAGATAACGAAACTATCTATTGAATTAACCTTGATTTCCAACTTTCTTAAGTTATATTTTAGATGCCAGAAATTATGTTTGGATATGACGAGGCTGAATAATTTATATGTTTATGTAAAGTAGTTTTTGAAACAAATGTGTTTTAGGATGTTAACATGAATAGTACTTCGTCACTAGCTGTGGTGAAACAAATCTCAATAAACATATTTCCAGATAGGGAGAAGTTCTATCCTTCGAGATCTCAACAGCAGAAACGAGATCAGAAGAGAAAATCTGGAGACAACATACTCCATGAAGCCTGCAGGGAGGGTGATCTTAGCCGAGTGCAACACATCTTAACTGAAGGTCATGTTGATCTCAACAGTAGGGAGAAGGAGCACGGGATGACACCATTGATGTTTGCAGCAACTGAGGGACATAGAGACGTGTTTGATTTAGTCATGAGTAAAGGAGGCAATGCTTCACTTGTGGATATAAATGGTGATAACATCCTACATTTGGCCTGTCTTGGAGGACATGTTAAGATGGTGAAGTACATCCTCTCACAGGGAATTGTGGACATCAACTGTAGAGGAATGTACGGGAGGACACCCTTGATGATTGCAGCAACGGACGGACATAAAGACGTGTTTGACTTAGTCATTATTGAAGGAGGTGATGTGTCTGCATTTGATGGTAATGGTAATAACATCCTACATTTAGCCTGTGTTGGAGGAAATGTCGATATAGTAAAGTACATCCTCTCTCAGAACATTGCGGAAATCAACAGTAAAACAACAAATGGATTGACACCATTGATGGTGGCCTCAGCTGAGGGACATAAAGACGTGTTTGACTTGCTTGTTAGTGAAGGAGGTGATGTGTCTGCAGTTGATGGTAATGGTTCCACGATCCTGCACGTGGCCTGTTTCTGTGGCCAAGTGGAAATGGTGAAGCATATTCTGTCTCAAAATATTGTGGATATTTACGCCAAGAACAAGCATGCGTACACGGCAGCGATGATGGCAAAGTTTAGAAAACACATGAAAGTGTATGACCTCATTATTTCGCAGGGCTGATTTGGAAAGCTGATGTTCGATACAAACCGGCAGTCACTAAGATTAATATGATTATTTCTTTGTTGCATGTATTTCTGTCATTCTAGAAACGCATTCAAGTAAATGTCTCAACATCATTGCCACTTATTTCACGAAAGCTGTTTGAACCTTCAGAAAAAGTACAGATTAAATATGACCCACTCATAGACTCATACCACGCAACAATGTATTTCTGTCAATCTAAATGTGCGGTCGGGTAGCCAAGAGGTTAAAGCGTTCGCTCGTTACATAGTATACACCTGTTTCTCTTACAGCAACACCTATGTTACATAGTAAACACCTATTTTCCTTAAAGCAACGCATATATTACAAAGTATACACCTGTTTCACTTACAGCAACACCTATGTTACATAGTGTACACCTGCTTCTCTTACAGCAACACCTATGTTACATAGTGTACACCTGTTTCTCTTACAGCAACACCTATGTTACATAGTGTACACCTGCTTCTCTTACAGCAACACCTATGTTACATAGTATACACCTGTTTCTCTTACAGCAACACCTATGTTACATAGTGTACACCTGTTTCTCTTACAGCAACACCTATGTTACATAGTGTACACCTGCTTCTCTTACAGCAACACCTATGTTACATAGTATACACCTGTTTCTCTTATAGCAACACCTTTGTTACATAGTAAACATCTGTTTCTCTTACAGCAACACCAATGTTACATCGTATACACCTGTTTCTCTTACAGCAACACCTATGTTACATAGTGTATACCTGTTTCTCTTACAGCAACACCTATGTTACATAGTGTACACCTGTTTCCCTTACAGCAACACCTATGTTACATCGTGTACACCTGTTTCTCTCAGAGCAACACCTATGTTACATAATGTACACCTGTTTCTCTTACAGCAACACCTCTGTTACATAGTAAACACCTGTTTCTCTTACAGCAACACCAATGTTACATAGTATACACCTGTTTCTCTTACAGCAACACCTATGTTACATAGTGTACACCTGCTTCTCTTACAGCAACACCTATCTTACATAGTATACACCTGTTTCTCTTAAAGCAACACCTATGTTACATAGTAAACACCTGTTTCTCTTACAGCAACACCAATGTTACATAGTAAACACCTGTTTCTCTTACAGCAACACCAATCTTACACAGTATACACCTGTTTCTCTTACAGCAACACCTATGTTACATAGTGTATACCTTTTTCTCTTACAGCAACACCTATGTTACATCGTGTACACCTGTTTCTCTTACAGCAACACCCATGTTACATAGTGTACACCTGTTTCTCTTACAGCAACACCCATGTTACATCGTGTACACCTGTTTCTCTTACAGCAACACCCATGTTACATAGTGTATACCTGTTTCTCTTACAGCAACACCCATGTTACATAGTGTACACCTGTTTCTCTTACAGCAACACCTATGTTACATAGTGTATACCTGTTTCTCTTACAGCAACACCTATGTTACATCGTGTACACCTGTTTCTCTTACGGCAACACCCATGTTACATAGTGTACACCTGTTTCTCTTACAGCAACACCTATGTTACATAATATACACATGTTTCTCTTACAGCAACACATGCTTTACATAGTGTACACCTGGTTCCCTTGCAGCAACACATATGTTACATCGTGTACACCTGTTTCTCTTACAGCAACACCTATGTTACATAATATACACATGTTTCTCTTACAGCAACACATGCTTTACATAGTGTACACCTGGTTCCCTTGCAGCAACACCTATGTTTCATAGTGTACACCTGTTTCTCTTACAGCAACACCTATGTTACATAATATACACATGTTTCTCTTACAGCAACACATGCTTTACATCGTGTACACCTGTTTCTGTGACAGCAACACCTATGTTACATCGTGTACACCTGTTTCTCTTACAGCAACACCAATGTTACATAGTGTACACCTGGTTCTCTTACAGCAACACCAATGTTACATAGTATACACCTGTTTCTCTTACAGCAACACATGCTTTACATAGTGTACACCTGGTTCCCTTGCAGAAACACCTATGTTACATCGTGTACACCTGTTTCTCTTACGGCAACACCCATGATACATAGTGTACACCTGTTTCTCTTACAGCAACACCTATGTTACATAATATACACGTGTTTCTCTTACAGCAACACATGCTTTACATAGTGTACACCTGGTTCCCTTGCAGCAACACCTATGTTACATAGTATACACCTGTTTCTCTTACAGCAACACCTATCTTACATAGTAAACACCTGTTTCTTTTACAGCAACACCCATGTTACATAGTATACACATGGTAGTCTTACAGCAACACCTATGTTACATAGTGTACACCTGTTTCCCTTACAGCAACACCTATGTTACATAGTATACACCTGTTTCTCTTACAGCAACACCTATGTTACATAGTGTACACCTGTTTCTCTTACAGCAACACCTATGTTACATAGTGTACACCTGTTTCTCTTACAGCAACACCTATGTTACATAGTGTACAGCTGTTTCTCTTACAGCAACACCTATGTTACATAGTGTGCACCTGTTTCTGTTACAGCAACACCTATGTTACATCGTGTACACCTGTTTCTCTTACAGCAACACACATGTTACATAGTATACACCTGTTTCTCTTACAGCAACACCTATGTTACATAGTGTACACCTGTTTCTCTTACAGCAACACCTATGTTACATAGTATACACCTGTTTCTCTTACAGCAACACCTATGTTACATGGTATACACCTGTTTCTCTTACAGCAACACCTATGTTACATGGTATACACCTGTTTCTCTTACAGCAACACATGCTTTACATAGTGTACACCTGTTTCTCTTACAGCAACACACATGTTACATAGTATACACCTGTTTCTCTTACAGCAACACCTATTTTACATAGTGTACACCTGTTTCTCTTACAGCAACACCTATGTTACATAGTGTACACCTGTTTCTCTTACAGCAACACCTATGTTACATAGTATACACCTGTTTCTCTTACAGCAACACCTATGTTACATGGTATACACCTGTTTCTCTTACAGCAACACCTATGTTACATGGTATACACCTGTTTCTCTTACAGCAACACATGCTTTACATAGTGTACACCTGTTTCCCTTACAGCAACACCTATGTTACATAGTATACACCTGTTTCTCTTACAGCAACACCTATGTTACATAGTGTACACCTGTTTCCCTTACAGCAACACCTATGTTACATAGTATACACCTGTTTCTCTTACAGCAACACATGCTTTACATAGTGTACACCTGTTTCCCTTACAGCAACACCTATGTTACATCGTGTACACCTGTTTCTCTTACAGCTACACCTGTGTTATATAGCGTACACCTGTTTTTTGTGGCAGCAACACCTATCTTACATAGTGTACACCTGTTTCTCTTAAGCAACACCTATGTTACATAGTATACACCTGTTTCTTTTTCAGCAACACCTATGTTACATAGTGTACACGAGCTACCCTTACATCAACACATATTGTAAACGTGTTACCCTTACATCAACACATAGTTTACACGTGTTACCCTTACATCAACACACATTGTAAACGTGTTACCCTTACATCAACACATAGTGTACACGTGTTACCTTACATCAACACATATTGTATACGTGTTACCCTTACATCAACTCATAGTGTACACGTGTTACCCCTACATCAACACATACTATATACGTGTTACCCTAACATGAACACACATTGTGCACGTGTTACACTTACATCAACACATATTGTACACGTGTTTCACTTACATCAACACACATTGTACACGTGTTACCCTTACATCAACACATATTGTACACGTGTTACCCTTACATCAACACATAGTGTTCTTGTGTTTCCCTTACAACACATAGTGTACTTGTGTTACCCTTACATCAACACATACTATATACGTGTTACCCTTACATCAGCACATAGTGTACTTGTGTTTCCCTTACAACAGCACATAGTGTATACGTGTTACCCTTACATCAACACATATTGTATACGTGTTACCTTGCATCAAGATGCTACTTTGTGGATCGGGCTGGTTAGACTTGGTGACGTTATAACGAACTGATGGATATAACGAACTGTTTTTTTGGTCCCGGCCATTTGATGTTTATATGATGAATATATGCTGATAACGAACTACGGTTATAAGGAACTAACATTTGTGGTCCCTTTGAATTCGTTATAACCGTAGTTTACTGTACATCAGAACTGGTTGCTAATTGTAATCAGCCGGGGGTCTCTGCTGCACACATTGTATACGTGGCAGCCTGCATCATGTTACATTTTCTCTGTATTTTGTCCCATATTGTAAATGTCCACGTTTAGGTGTTAGTTGGTGAGATGAGGTGAAATGGGGTTTAACGTCGCCTCCAAGATTATTACAGTTATATAGCGACGTGCATGAACGTGGGTGTGGCGGTTTCTACCAGTCCGATTTATAGTGCTTGCACACTGAGATACCATGCCGCAGTTTAACATGAATACCCCACTCAGCTGAGCCTGTGATAGAGTTTTAATTCGATGTATCACCCAAATGGTATGGTGAAATGGCATGATGTAATTTCTTTTATAGCGACTGAATCAGGTGAACATTATCTTGAAATAATCTCTCCAAATATATTTACAATAACACGCTGATAAAACTGTGAAACAGTAAGGCATGTGGAAATAGGAAAGAGTATGACACTTGAATACAGTGGTCGAGTGAGGTATTTCTTGGTTCCGTGGGCAAATTCCAAGAGCGCCATTTCGACAATACTACTACACTCTTGCAAGACACAATTACATAAGTACCTTTTTCTCAATTGTATGACAGGTGCTTGCCGTCATCTACCGTCACAACGACAGTTCTTTGTTCCCTTCGTTTACAAGGGCACGGGTGGCCCAGTCGTTTAAGGCTCCGCGATTCGCTGTTCAGAGTTGCTTTCATTGGGCACG